TTGGGGGCTCGTCTGGGATTCGGTTGCCCCCAGACCCATTTCCTCAAATCAGCAGGAGGTAAGACTTGTCTTGTGGTTTGTCTTGGTCTTAATGTCTGTCTGTCATTTCCTGCTCTGGGAACATTCCGTCTGAACAGTTGTGCCTGTACAGGACCTGTAAGTCTGTATTCTGGGAACCAAGGGGAGTGGCAGACATGCCCAGAGACTCCAGGTTCCAGCACTCTGGCCCTAGTGACCAGGGTGATCTGAAGTGAGGAAGACAGTGTCTCCTCACCTCGGGAGAAGGGAAATTGGCTTGGCTATTCCCCTCCCGGTCTGTACTTTTAGTTTTGAATCAGAGAGCGCGCCGAGGTTTTCTGTTGTCTGTTTGTATCTGTATCTGGGGATCCTGAAAGCAAGAATGGTGAGTGCTGTATGTGTCTGAGTGTAAGAAGGACCGGTCCATTTGAATGTGATATAACACGGTGTGTGTGCACTTAATAGTATATTAGTATTTTAAGGAAACATCTAGTTTTGTATTTTTCTCTACACTCTCTATTTTAAGCTTTCTCTGTCTTTTCTGTCTCTCTTTTATTCTTGATCCAGTCTTCACGAGGGACCGTTAAAGGTGAAGGAGAAATTGAGGTTTTCTGGTCAGGGCCACTCCCTGACGTAAACCAAAGGCTTTTAGCCCTCTTGGCGGACCCCAACTGCCCACATGGGTGGAGACAGGACGGTCTTTCTATATCTTCCTTTCTCTCTAGCCACTAAAAGCCCCACGGGTACGGGTCGAGCAAGTAAGAGCCACAGGGCGCTCGCCACTAAAAGACTTCCATGAAAGGATAAGGGGGTCCCAGACGTGAATCCCAGATAAATTCACGTCCCCCGCAGAAGAAAAACTGGACAATGATAGGTACTTGTTCATAAGCACATTCACAGGTCACTATTGTTTGGAGTGGCATCTTTATCTTTCTCTCTCTCTCTCTCTCTCTCTCTCTCTCTCTCTCTCTCTCTCGTGTCCTCTATCATGGGTCAATCATTAACTACCTCTTTAAGCTTAACCCTGGAACACTGGAAGGAGGTCATGGAACGGGCCCGTAATTTATCACTGGAGGTTGAAAAGAAGAAGTGGCAGGATCTCTATTCCTCTGTGTGGCCCTCTTTTGAAAAAGGATGGCCAAGGGATGGGACTTTTGACCTTGATACTATCTTACAGGTTAAAGAATAAAGACTTGGCTTGGAACCCCACATCTTGGGCACGACCGTTCCTACCTCCTCAGGGAACCAGAGAGAATGATCAGGACCCCCCTACCCCTTCTGCACCCCTAAGTCTCACTTCCTCCCTCCTGCCCCTTCAGTCTTCCCCTGAGAAGAAGAAGCAGAAACCAGTCCTCCCCAAAGACTAAGCTTCACTAACCCTCCTTGATCCCCCACCTCCCTATCCTCCTGCACAGGCACCTCTACCTCAAGAACTACCTCATCCATCTCCTGATTCCACTGAACCTGATCATTCCTCCCCACCATCTAGTAGACTCCGCCTGAGAAGAGATAGAGGGGGTCCCTCTGATGGAACTGGGACTGCCCAGATTTTTCCTCTACAAACTGTAGGGGACCAGATCCAGTATTGGCCTTTTCCAGCCTCTGACTTGTATAATTGGAAAACTCATAACCCCTCTTTTTCTCAGGACCCTCAGGCTTTAACTGCTTTAATTGAGTCTATTCTCACCCACCAACCCACCTGGGAGGATTGTCAGCAACTCCTCCAGGCCCTTCTAACCACAGAAGAAAGACAGCGAGTCATCCTGGAGGCCCAGAAGAACGTTCCTGGGGAGGATGGGAGACCCACTCAACTCCCAAATGAAATAGATGCAGGATTTCCTCTGACCAGACACAACTGGGACCCTGAAACCGTGGCAGATAGGGAGTGTCTCCGTCTTTATCGCCAGACTCTGTTAGCGGGTCTCAAAGTGGCTGGAAGGTGCCCAACCAATTTGGCAAAGGTACGTGCTATAACCCAGGGAGAAAATGAAACTCCTGCAGGATTTTTAGAACATCTGATAGAGGGATATCGGATGTATACCCCTTTTGATCCCACAGCCCAGGAGCATCAGGCAGATTTTATTATGGCCTTTATAGGACAATCAGCTCCTGATATCCCTGGTAAGCTCCAACGGCTGGAGGGCCTTCAGAGGTACTCTTTACAGGATTTAGTAAGGGAAGCTGAGAAAATCTACAACAAGCGAGAGACCTCAGAGGAAAGAGAGGACAGAATTAGAAAAGAACAGGAAGCCAGAGAAGATAAGAGAGAGAAAAAGAAAAATAAAGAGTTGAGTCGAATTTTGGCCACAGTAGTTCAGGAAACAGGACCAGATAGGGACCTGGGAGACAAAAGAAGACCCCGAGTGGACAAAGATCAATGTGCCTACTGCAAGGAGAGAGGACATTGGGCTCGAGAATGCCCAAAGAAGTTGAATAAACTCCAAAAGAAGACAACCCCAGTCCTGACCCTAGGAGACAAGGAGAGTCGGGGCCAGGAGCTCCCCCCTGAGCCCAGGGTAACTCTAAGAATAGGGGGGCAATTGACTACCTTCACGGTAGATACAAGAGCTCAACACTCAGTTTTGACAACAACCAAGGGACCCATGAGACCCAAAACAGCCTGGGTCCAAGGGGCTACTGGAGAAAAGACATATAGATGGACTACAGAAAGAAAAGTGGACCTCAGTACAGGACAGGTCTCTCACTCGTTCTTACTGGTCCCAGACTGTCCATATCCCCTTCTTGGGAGAGATTTACTCTCCAAGTTAGGAGCCCACATCCACTTCACTAAAAAGGGAGCCACTGTACAAACAGCCTGGGTCCAAGGGGCTACTGGAGAAAAGACATATAGATGGACTACAGAAAGAAAAGTGGACCTCAGTACAGGACAGGTCTCTCACTCGTTCTTACTGGTCCCAGACTGTCCATATCCCCTTCTTGGGAGCCACTGTACAAGGAAAAGATGGAGCTCCATTACAGGTATTAACCCTGCGACTGGAGGATGAACATCGGTTGTATGAGGGACCGATAGCAGAAACCCCTGGTATATCCAATTGACTAAATAAAATCCTTTTAGCATGGGCCGAGACAGGAGGCCCAGGACTGGCATGCAAGAGCCCGGTTAGCCAGCCCATCTTTGCCTTTGAATGGAAGGACCCTGAAGCTGGAATATCGGGACAACTAACCTGGATGTGACTTCCCCAAGGATTCAAGAACTCCCCTACTCTGTTTGATGAAGCTCTACACCGTGATTTGGCTGATTTTTGGGTAAGAAACCCACAGATTATGCTTCTTCAGTATGTGGATGACCTCCTCTTAGCAGCTGAGACAGAAGCTGGCTGTCTGCAAGGTACTGAGGCTCTCCTGCTGAGACTGGGGGAACTTGGATACCGGGCCTCGGCAAAGAAAGCCCAGATCTGCCTACAGCAGGTGAACTATTTAGGCTATAGGTTGGAGGGAGGGCAACGTTGGCTGATGGAGAGCAGGAAACAGGCAGTAGCCTCTATCCCCCCACCAACCTCAGCTAGAGGACTCAGAGAATTCTTGGGAAGCACAGGATTTTGTAGACTATGGATACCGGGTTTTGCTGAAATAGCAGCTCCTCTATATCCTTTAACAAAGAGTGGGACCCCTTTTGTCTGGACTGAAGAACACCAGAAAGCTTTTGACAAGATAAAAAGAGCGCTGCTGATGGCTCCAGCATTAGGATTGCCAGATCTGACAAAACCTTTCATCCTACATATAGATGAAAATAATGGGATGGCAAAAGGAGTCCTTACTCAGACTCTGGGACCCTGGAAAAGACCAGTGGCTTATCTCTCAAAAAAACTGGACAATGTGGCCGCTGGCTGGCCCCCATGTTTGAGAATCATGGTGGCAATAGCATCCTTAGTTAAAGACTCAGACAAACTCACTATGGGTCAGCCCCTAACTGTTATAACACCTCATGCAGTGGAGTCCATCATTAGACAACCTCCTGACAGGTGGCTGTCAAATGCCAGGGTGACCCATTATCAGGCATTACTATTAAATCCAGAAAAAATCAAGTTTGGAAACCCTGCCACCCTAAACCCCGCCACGCTACTACCAGCCACCGAGAAAGGCACTGAGATTCCTCATGATTGCCAGCAAATACTTGCGGAGACACATGGGACCAGAGAAGACCTCACTGACCAGCCCCTAACAGATGCAGATGCCACTTGGTACACGGATGGGAGCAGCTTTCTACGAAATGGTGAGCGTAAGGCGGGGGCTGCGGTGGTTGATGGGGAAAAGATAATTTGGGCCCAAGCCCTGCCAGCTGGAACATCAGCCCAGCGAGCTGAATTAGAAGCTCTAACTCAGGCCCTAAAATTAGCAAAGGGCAAAAAGGTCAATATTTATACTGACAGCCGCTATGCATTTGCCACTGCCTATATACATGGGGAAATTTATCGGAGGCGGGGACTCCTCACCTCGGCTGGTAAGGACATCAAAAACAAAGAAGCAATAGTGGCCCTTCTACAAGCCTTATACTTGCCAAAACAGGTCAGCATAATTCATTGCCCTGGACATCAACGAGACCAGGGGCCAATTGCTTGAGGCAATCGGATGGTGGATGAAACTGCCCGTCAGGCAGCAGAAGGTACATACATTCTTTACACACATGCAGACCTTAAGGCTGAGATGAAGAAACAGGAAAAGAAAGCAGAAGCTTCTTTTACTTACACTGAACAAGATTTGGAACTTGTTCAAAAGCTTAATGCTACTTTGGATCCTGAAACCAAGATGTGGAGACATCAAAATCGTACTATACTGCCCCGGGAAGCAGCACTTGAGCTGATCTCCCAACTTCACCAGTGGACACATTTGGGACACAAGAAACTAAAAACACTATTAGAAAGAAAAGAACAACATTATTACTTCCCAGACCTCAATCAACTAGTTCAAAAAGTAGTGGGAGATTGTGTCTCATGTTCCCTGGTAAATGCAACTAAGTCAAAGGTCCCATTTGGCAAGAGAGAAAGAGGGACACGACCAGGGACTAACTGGGAAGTAGATTTTACTGAGGTACTCCCAGGAAAATATGGGTATAAATACCTTTTAGTGTTTATAGACACTTTTTCAGGGTGGGTTGAAGCTTTCCCCACCAAAAAGGAAACAGCCCAGACTGTGGTAAAGAAACTGATTGAAGAAATCTTCCCTCGATTTGGACTGCCTAAGGTAATTGGATCTGATAATGGCCCTGCCTTCGTCTCCCAGGTAAGTCAGGGAGTGGCCAAAGCATTGGGGATTAATTGGAAATTACATTGTGCTTACAGACCCCAAAGTTCAGGACAGGTAGAAAGAATGAACAGAACTATTAAAGAGACCTTAACCAAATTAGCTCTAGAGACTGGCACTAAAGACTGGGTACAACTCCTGCCTCTAGCCTTATTTCCGGCTAGAAATACTCCTACTATACATGGCTTAACCCCCTATAAAATCCTTTTTGGAGGACCACCCCCTGCACTCTATATAACCTTGTCCCCCTTGCCCTCTTCTTTTGATAAACCCAGCTTAAAATCAAGGCTCCAAGCCCTCCATATCATCCAGAACCAGGTTTGGAGGCCCTTGGCTGCAGTCTACCAGCTTGGTGATCTACAAACGCCTCATTCCTATCAAATTGGAGATCAGGTGTACGTGAGAAGACACAACGTGAAAACCCTTGAACCACGGTAGAAAGGACCCTACACAGTTCTCCTGACTACTCCTACGGCCCTCAAAGTGGACGGAATCTCAGCTTGGATTCACACTTCCCACGTCAAGAGAGCTCCGACTCAAGAGGACACTGAAAAATGACATCTACACAGAACATCCAACCCTCTAAAAATAAGACTCTCCAGAAATTCTTAATGATTCTATTTGTTTATAGGCTTGTCCCCAGTTATGGAAGTCCCCATCTCCCTGTGCTGACCACCTGGCGAGTAATTAACCAAATGGGTATTGTAGTGTTTGAAACCCACAAGATGGCACCAAAGGGCACATGGTGGCCTATACTGTATCCAGATTTGTGTAAATTAGCCTTAGGAGCACCAGAGCCTTGGGATTTAGAAGGAAACTGGAATACTGAGGTGGTGCCTGACAAAGAAAGTCCCCCTGGGAGACTGGGACTTGACCCGTGGGGAGGATGTGGCCCTCATGAACACTGGGCCATGTTGCGTACACTAACCTTTTATGTCTGTCCAGGCGACCACAGGGCTAAATATCTTACATATTGTACCCAGATTTGTGCAAATTAGCTTTAGGGGTACAGGAGCCTTGGGACTTAGAAGGAACCCACGATACTGAAAAGGCACCCAGCATGGCGAGTCCTCCTGGGAGGCTGGGACTGGACCCATGGGGAGGATGCGGCCCTCCTGAACACCGGGCCATGTTGCGTACCTTAACCTTTTATGTCTGCCCAGGCTTTCACAGGGCTGTGTCTCTCAATCCTAAGTGTGGAGGGGGGGGCATTTCTTCTGCAAGAACTGGGGGTGCGAAACCACCGGGGACACTTGGTGGTCCCCAACCTCATCATGGGATTACATCACTGTAAAAGAAAATTATTCTCATGGGAACAATCGTTTGCAGGGAAAATTTAATGAATAAAAATCTATTCATAAACAGGCCTGTCAAGGGAAATGGTGCAACCCCCTCCGAATAGAATTCACAACAGGTAAAAAGGCCACAGATTGGGAAGGGGGTATTCTTGGGGAATTAGATTATATAAGGAACGAACAGATGATGGCCTCCTTTTTACTATTAAAAGAGATACTTCCTCCTACCCAATAGCTATAGGTCCCAACCCCATCTTACCTATCCAGAAACCCATCCTCAGCTACCCAAATCCCCTGCTAGCTCTGATACCTGAAGCTACCTCACAGCACCTCCCCAACTCACTTCCTAGCACCTCCCCAGCTAACATCCTGTCAGAACAGACCTCTCATTACCCAAGTTTTCAGGTTTCAACCACAGGAAACCGGTTGTTCAATCTAGTTCAGGGGGCATATAAGGCCATTAGACAGACAAACCCCAATTTGACTGAATCTTGTTGGCTGTGTCTAGCAGCAGCACCTCCCTATTATGAAGGTATAGCTACACTAGGAACATTTATTAATACCACCTCAACAGATCAATGCCATAGGGAAACTCCTCATTCCCTAACTCTCACAGAAGTCTCAGGATCTGGACTCTGTCTAGGAAACCCACTTTCAACTCATACCTACCTTTGCAACTCCACTATATCTGTAGCCTCAGGGGAAGGAAATTATTATCTCCTACCCCAACCAGGGACTTGGTGGGCATGTAGCTCTGGATTAACCCTGTGTGTAGCTAGTATGGTTCTTAATACCTCTCAAGACTATTGTGTTATGGTTAAACTTCTACCCCGAGTATTCTATCACCCTGCAGATTCCTTAGAACAGTTTTTTAAGCAACATCCAGGCAGATATAAAAGAGAGCCTGTGTCTCTAACCCTAGCAATACTTCTAGGAGCAGGAGTGGCAGCAGGGATAGGAACTGGAACCGCTGCCTTACTACAAGGACCTCAAAATTATGCAGACTTACAAAAAGCTGTAGATGAAGACATTAAGGCACTAGAACAGTCAATTACCCTCCTAGAGAAATCTCTAACCTCTCTCTCTGAAGTAGTGTTGCAGAACAGGAGAGGATTGGATCTGCTTTTCCTTAAAGAGGGGGGACTTTGTGCGGCTCTGGGAGAAGAATGTTGCTTTTATGCTGATAACTCTGGAGTTATTAAAAATTCCATGTCTAAGCTCCGCCAGAGATTAGATGACAGACAAAAAGAACGTGAATCCACACAAGGATGGTTTGAAGGATGGTTTAATAAAAGCCCCTGGTTCACTACCTTAGTGTCCACCCTAATAGGCCCCCTAGTAATTCTTCTCCTCCTTTTAACCTTTGGAGCATGTATACTCAATAGATTGCTACAATTCATTAGAGACCACTTATCAGTGACTCAGGCTTTGGTTCTTACTCAGCAATA